TCTATAAGTTCATTGTTATTGCTATTTATTACTTATCTTTGTGTAAAAGTTGATACTTTTTCTCGTTTTCCCGTAGGTACGAAATTATAACTTAAAAATGGTCATTTAAATTATTAGTTTATAATGAGTATGTTTTTTTTCAGGGGCACTATTTAATCATGAAACAAATTCAAGATCAGAAGAGGTATTTAAAATACTATCGAGTTCGGACACTTCGAAACCATTTCAAGGTCGTATTCTTCATCCAAACGTCATCAACTCATTGTCTATATCACAAGAATGTATGTATTTACATTTAAATGCTTTTTGTATCAGTTATTATTTATCGAAAAAAGTTTAAAACACATTTCTTATTCAGATACATATTTTTAATTTGCGATGCTAGTCATTTTTGTTCCGGAAACCATAGAGCGCCATCTTGTGATTTTTTTGATACTTGCACTGTATTAATTATGTTTTCAGTATGCTCTGATACTTCGGAAAATAGAGGCATCGTAGCTTTAATCGATGTGCGACCAACTAATGGCATTTGTGATATCTCTTGCTTGCTGTGTAATAAATTGCATGTAAGTATAACATATTTTTAAATGCGTATTACAGTACCCTTATGATATGTTCCTTGTGTTGAGTAAAGAAAATTTTGCTGCTACTTTTTTAACAGGCGTCAGCATCCTTCCTGATTGTTTTGGGAACAGTAAAAATTATTTTTACAAGATTGTTTATTTAAAGGAACAAAGGGACAATGGCTACATTTTGTAGATGACATTTGTGGTTAATTGTCTTACACCAATCTGGTGATTTTTTTTAGATTTCCCACCTTTCCGTTGGTTGGCAAATACCAGATACCTCGGATCAAGACGAGTTTTCATTTTTCTACCATCCGCCATCAGAGCTCATATCAAAAGCTTACGCCACACTTATCAAAGAGTTAGAGTGGGATAGATTTACGTTCTTCTATGAAGATGATGGCAGTAAGTTGTTTTATAATCTTTGTTAAAAAATATTGACGTAGATGTATGGAAAATGGAATGCAACGGACGGAAAAGTCACCTTTTGTTTACATCAAGCAGAAGACAAACTGGTTTTATTAATGATGTTGTCGGCATATGTCAAATCTAACTATACACAAAATCCATTTACATTTGGAACAGAATTTGAACCAATTAAAAAAATATCGTTTCAGGTTTCATACGTCTTCAGGAAGTAATAAATTCTTGGCCATATAATAACGAACGGATACAATTTGAAAAATTAGAACCCGATGGAGATAATCGGAAGACGTTCAAAAATGTATTTGGTGTACTCCGAATTAGTTACCACTTAATAGATTGTGACGTCAAAAACATCCAGAAGTACATGAAAGAAATCGTTTCCGTGAACAATTCAACACAATATCAGGTACATAGAAATGTAGGTGATATTGTACAAAAAGCTTCTTCCAAATGTAGTTTGTGCTTTTCATAATTTATTACTACAAAATGTTAAAGTAATTTTTAAATTTTTTAAATTCGCAGAGTTTTATTTTAACAGCTCTCGATTCGTACTTGATAAAACTAGATGAGATCTCACAACTTCGTGCAAACGTATCTACTCTACATCTGACAAAATCAAATGAACCCATTTGGAGTGATTTCGGTATAAACACTGCAGAAATACCAGTTACGGTAAAATGTATTTACTTACTAATGTTTTTAATCTTTTGGGCATCTATCTATACTATTATAATAAAGCGTAAACACACACTTCTTTGTTGCCTAAGATGTCAGCAATTACAGCATCTTTTGAATAATTCTTTTTTTCATAAAATGCCCTACACTTACGTCACGCTTTAGGCTATATGTTTTCACGCCATTAAACTTAGGGAGTAAATATTTTGGATAAAAGCCCTAATGTGGGAAAGAGACCATAAGTTGCTGCCAACATTAAGGAAGCAAAATAGCCATGCTTTGTCATCATGTCATGTCATTTTGACATTAGCTATTGATAATTTGACAAATGTACACAATAAAATAGAGTTTTTATAATCCCATGCGGATGAAACCGCAGAGAAAGAGCTAGTAATTTATAACATCGTGAAAATATATTTTCAGATAGAGACAGCACTAACAGCAGATGCGTTAAATCATTTTGAAAAGGCAATTCGTATTATGAGACAGGAGAATATGATGGAATACGTTGATCCACCAGAAATATGTTTTGCTGAGAACAAAGCTGCTTACAAAGAAAAAGCTTGGATACATGGTGATGCTTTGAAGGAAGTATTACTTCAGGTAAAAATAACCTATGCGATAATAATAAAGATTGCAATCGTAAAGGTAAAAATATCTTTATTTCTTTGTTTCAGACTACATTCAGAGGTACTACTGGAAATATAACTTTTGATGAGAATGGGAAAAGAACTA